TTTTTATGACAAAGTGAAGCCAAAAGATTCATTGCGATTATTATTCAAGAAATTCGAAGACAATCAATCATGAATCACAAAACAGCAACGAGGCATTATGATGCAGATAAATAAGTAAAACGAATGCACAAGAATGGCAATACGCTATCAAGCCTACGGCCTATAATCTTTGTAAAAATTGCGTTATTGATGGTAATTGTTTTTTATGAGTTTTAGTAAAATCTAGATAATATTCTGAACGTCCATGTCAAGCTTCATTCTACGATGTAGAAACGCCGCAATTTTATCAGAGAAGAATAAGATGGCATTGTCCATAGAAATACCAGGCAATAACGTCAGCTGTGACATACAAAACCATGTTTTTACTTGATGGAAAGAAACAACTTCCATTTTATTGTTATTTTGTATATAAATTACCACTATAAACCGGCAGATACTTGTTTCTTTTTCACTTCATTATGTAATTTTGTGCTCTACTCGACAGTAAAAAATTAAGTGCATTAATTACCCACTAAGAGACCCATTAATTCGTTTGGCAATTGCGGTTTTCTTCATCTAACATCCCTACATTGGCTATATGATGTGTTTCTTGCCATCGAAGCGCTGCCGATGCCCGATTGTCTTTCAACTAAGATGCAGCTTCATATGCGCAGCCGTGCACACAACGACTCATACCGCCTTATCTGACGCGACTCGAGTCGCTAAATGGTTCGCCGCGAGCTCTAATTCCCTACAGATCCCGAGCTACCCAAATGCACCTTCAGCATTACCCGTAGAGATCATTTCGCTGCACGCCAGGCTTAGCCCTCTCTTTCTCTACCGACAAACACGAAGGCACCGTGAAGCCTTTAGGGGCTTGCGAGCCAATGAGTCACGTCAAAGGTCAAGTGTCGTGAGCGGGTCACGTGCAAGGTCAAGTGCGGCCTGCTTTGAACACGGAGCAGTGAACGACACGTTTGCTGGTTTACCTGGGTGAGACGGGATCAGCAGGGAATATACCGTGAGCACTATGAGTCGGGATTTTGAAACATTGCGTGCAACTGACGGGAAAAGTGTTCATGGGAGGAGGCTTTCGGGTCTGGCAAGTGACCGTTTGAAACGGCGCGGGGTGTGTTAGAGGATCCGTTGGGAACAGTTCAGGAGGGGTCCATTCGGTCACGTCCCTGCAAGACGGCCACGTAGTGTCCCAGGCGTGGTGCCGTGCGTGTAAAGAAGAATCACTTGCGCCATACTTTCTTCTGTCTGACTCCGAGGAAGGAATTTGTCTGAGCAAGGAGCTGAAAAAATAGATCTTCCAAATGAAAATTATTTTTGGTAATTCAAAACAATACGAGATGTTCATTAACCCGCGCCCCACTGGGGTCTGCGTATAACACGCCCTACTGGGGGGGGGGGGGGCTATTCATAGCCCCCCTCCTAACTCCGAAACTACTGGGCCGATCATCAAAATTCAAACGGCGTCTGATAACCACGGAAAAACTGTCCAGCGAAACCTAATTTCATTGACCTCGAGGTCACCGATGACGTCACAGGTCAGGTCAAAGTAAAAATTATTAGCATTTTGGCTTCTTCACGTTTTGGGCTCTGGCCGCCGTCCTCCAAGTCAGATCAGGCTCATTTTTGGTTCACACACTCGTGAACAGATGCTCTAGATACTCTGAGGGTACCAAACTTGTACTTTGATTTTCAGGTCAAGGTCAGGTCATCACAGGTCACGAAAATATCATATCATCCGTCGGTCACGTGACACATGTTTTATGGTCCATTTAGGCCAAAATTTTCAAATTTGATGTCGTCTGTGTCATTCGAGGTCATTTTGAGTCAAATTTAGCTTAGGTCAGGTCACTTTCAGGTCAAAAAAGGTCAAATTTTGAAGTTAAAATTTTTTTCTACAAAAAAATGTGTCTATTGGATGCAGTTTGAGCTCAGGAACACGATGGTGCTATTTATATTGGCGTACGATGTCAAATTCGTGCTGAAAAAATTGATTTGAAAAATTAATAATTGTTATTTTTGCAATAATGCGTATTACTTGGCCATTTTTGAAGATATTTAGCTAAAACTTGCTAGAGTTAGTCGTAATAATGCGTTCTATCACATATATTCCGATTTTCTCGAAAAGTCAAAAAATATTTGAAAAAAATGTAAAAATATAAATTTTGAATATGATTATAATTTTTTTGAAATTTTCAAAAGTTCGAAAATCCGAGATAGCAGTTTGATAGCGCAGTCTATTCTGAGTCCTCTCATGCAAAGAAATTGGATCTAGCTTAAAAACTGAGCTCTTGGGAGCGATTGCCGTGGTTCAATGTTTTGCGTCGAAATCGGCCGAACATGACGTCACTCTGACGTCATTTCCGGCCGACCTATGGTAGGTACGAAGTTCAAATTTTGACACAAGGTGTCAAATTGATGCAGCCGAAGGTACTGAAAGTTTGGCGTCGATATATCAAGCGGTTTGGAAGTTATTGCAGAAAAACGGGAGGGGGGCTATAAATAGCCCCCCAGTGGGGCGCGGGTTAAAGCAACATGTTCATACATGTTTAACAACATGTTCAACAACATGTTCAACACATGTTCATAAAAAACATTGATAATCATTGTATCCAGTAAGAAGTGTTACTATAAAATTGTGATTATTTTGTCACTATACTCGCAATTCTTGCGGCCCGGGCTTTCACGATCGTCGCTCAGGGGCATACAACTAAAGGCTTCCAAGGATAGCTTCGCTGTAGTTAAAGTTAACCCTCGCCCTGGCAGGGGGGGGGGTCGATGCGACCCCCCCCCCCTAAGGTTTTTCGAAGATAGCGTAAAAACGGCGGCGCGCAGCGCCGCCAAATTTGGCACAGCTTATGGGGCAACCTTTTTACATATGACCTGAAAATTTCAGGTCCGGGTGACCTTGGGTCAGGTCACCAGGTCAGAAAAACCGGTACAAGGTCATGGTCAAATTTCAATTTTCTTTTTGCACCTGTCCAACTCACAGTTTTGGACTGATTTCCTTCAAACTTTCAGGATGTGCTAAGTTCACCGAGTTGTATAACATATAGTTCGGGTTTTTTGAGGTCACTGACCTGAGGTCAGTTAGAGGTCATTACGTCGTAATGTTAAGCCTATGGGAAAATACTAAATTCGGAAAATACTGGAGATATCCGCTTCGTTCCATCACTTTTGTGCTTTGAAACCACAGTACTTAGCAGCAGGTCACTTGGTGCTTCTTGGTTTGGTGTACTTATCCATGGGTCAGGTCAAATGAGGTCAACTGAGGTCAAATGACGTTTTTGCCAATAACTTGGCACATAGTGACGCTAGAGCTTAAAAAATGGTATCATTGTGTTCCTGGTGATCAGCCGAATCGAATGATATGCGATATGATGCAATTTGGTTAACTTGAACATAATTTATAAATTTAAGTTTACTTAAAATTTAAGAAAAACTTTAAGTACATTTAAGCAAGCTAAAAAGTATATCATTCGACGCGCCTTGACGTGCTGAGTTCACTGGTGCTTTTCTTTTTTCTTTATCTTAATTAGATCAAAAGTTATAAGCGAAAAACTTTTGACCTGTTTTTAGCGAAATTTTTACATTTACACCCCCCAAAACCCCCCTAAATATTGACCTAGAGCAACCAAATTTGCACAGGGGCGAGAACTCCAGGGGGCCCACCTACCTACCAAATTTGGTGTTTCTAGGTGCCATAGGAGCCAATCGCGAGGGGGGGGGGTCGCATCGACCCCCCCCCCCCCTGCCAGGCCGTGTTATGAAAAATGCCCTGCCAGGGCGAGGGTTAATCGGGCTTCGCTATGTTTGAGCTAAGAAAGGAGTTATAAAAATGGGTTTTCCGACGAAGAATGGTGACATTTCCTTTTTTCCATTGACGAGGAAGGGGGATTCCATATATAGTAACCGTCCATTTTAGACCCGGAATAAAAATTACTGGTTCAAAGGTACTCCTCTAATATCATCTTTGTCGTCTGATTACGGAGCGAGCGAAGCGAGCGGAGTCTCATCTGAATTAAGGGAAAATCCTGAGTATGAGCGGCCGGCCGGCCGTGGGGACGCTCTTCAAAAGCTAATATCTTAGGAACGGGACATCCGATTGACAAGCGGTCTTCTTTACTGAATGTCACTTGGACGTAAAAGTTCTGTGGTGTGGTGGCCACCATGCGTTCTTACCAACCACCGCACGTGGCGCGTGGTAAAGTTGGACATTTTTTAAGAACCCCCAAAATTGCAACCTCAATAACGGCACAACGGTTGGGCCGATTGAATTGAAACTCGGTACACAGTTAGGTCTCCATCAGATAATTCATCTGCATGTGTTAAGGTTGGGGTGCTACAGCACGTGCGCACGTGCAGGGGGCGCTCCCAGATCTCGAGAACGGCTGGGCCGATTGCGCTCAAATTTGGTACACGGTTGGCCGTTGGGGACCAGTTAGTAGGTTGCCGTGCAAAAGTCAGTTTGGACCCCGCTTGCACGTGCGCACGTGCAGTGTGCCGCTTCCAGATCTCGAGAACGGCTAGGCCGATTGCGCTGAAATTTGGCACATCGCTAAAGACCGGTTAGTAGGGTGCAGTGGACAAGTTAGTTGGAGGTACCCCCTCGCAATTTCGCACGTGCAAGGCCCATCCTCTCGCTCGCTCCGTTGGTCGCCCAAAAGGCGTTTTACTGGTATGTATTACTATACATATATGTCGTCTATACTTCGATCAGAGATAGCGGTGCTGTCATTTAATGTGAGTATTGACCTGCCCAAAAAGCAGCACATTTGACGCAGGATCGGACACTGATCGCTCGTCATACAGCTGCGGCCAGTGGCCACAGCTGTCGGCTCTGTCGGCAGCGACGCGTCGAACGACGATCTGACGGCGTCCAAGCGTGGCCCACCGTCGTTACCATCCGCCGGTCGCGAGTAGCCCCTCTATGTCGTCAGCGCACGGCCGAGCGTGCCTCGCGGGCTGCCGACAGTTTTGTCCCCTGACAAAAACGGGCCGTGAGTGCTGGGGTCATTCATAGTAGCTCACGGCGGGTGCTGAGTGACGGGCTCAGACTGACCGCCGGAGGGGCGTGGTGCTCCCAGGGCAAAGTACCGACCGCGCCCCAGTGAAACGCCGCGCCTATATTGTCTCTCATAACAGCTAGCTGATGCTCTGCTTGCATAAGCGGGCGTCAGAGCGCGGTGTCGCAATAGTTGCATGACTCGTTACGTCAGGGGTACTCCTCCATTCGGCTTTGGGCTCGTGTCTGATGCAACCGCACCGTACCCGAACTGCTTGGAGGTGTGTCAGGAAGGAATTATCTAATGTATTAGCGAGTTACTACGCTGACCTTCGCAAGGCCGGGGAACACCCTTGCTGTACTGTTGTGGGATACTCTGTATGTATTACGTAACACACCCCACCCATTCTTAGCGCACCCTCGTGGATGCATGGGTGATATTCTTTCATATCGGTCCGTGTCAATCAATGAGACATCGGCTGGCTGGCGACGGCGCCCGGGCCGGGGCTGGTCGGTCGCGGCGGCGGCGGCGGCGGCAGCGGCGCTAAGTTTAGGCGCAGCGCCGAGTCACATGTGCGCCGGCCGGGTGGGCGGCACCGCGCCGGCCGAGCGGCCGTCAGAAGTGAGCCGGTCGTGGTGGGGTGCGGATACAGGAGCGCCGCTGACGCCGAGCCGCCCGCCGCACCGCCCTCGAACCGCCCCCGTCCCCGCCCCCGCCCCCGCCCGAGCTCGGACCGTCCCGTGGTGTGTGCTATGGTGGCGTGACACTCACCATGGGCAAGAAGACCAAGAAGCGGCCGCGCTGGAGGAAATTGTCGCTGGGTGAGTACTTGGACCGACCCAGGTTGAGGTATCTGACTTTGACCGGTCCCCGGGGGAGAATTGTTCCGTGCTCTATGATCCGACACTTGATGAACTGACAGTGGAGAGATGACGTGATTTGAGACATCCCTGACCGGACATGAGCCTGCCAATCAATTGATGCACGACTTTTATAACTTTTAAAGATAAAATAAAAAATAAAAATTAAGATATAACTTACAAATTAACAAGTTTCAAGGGAATTTCGATATTTATTTCTATCTCCAATTAACTCATCGAAAATGAAGTTCATCAATGATACCTTAGATTTAATGTATCATTTATTAGTAAATTCATTACAGTTTTCGTTACGGCAAGCTGAAAGGCTTTCATGAATCATGACGCGATCCCTGTAGATCACTGCCTAATGCCATATTGGGGTAGTGCTACATCGAGGCGATACAATGTCAGCAATAAAACGCTTATGATATCCGTATACTACCTAAGTCATATAGATATCATAACCAATTATTGATTTATTGTAGTTTTGTTGCATCGACCCTACATTGTGCGCAAGCAAATATATCATGCGTCTTCAGTGATAAAAAATATTTATTTTCAAACTCTCTACAATACTTTCATCGATTTCGTAGCGATAGTTTGGTTTATATAATTGGTTATATGGTTTATAGCAGTGCTTCGTAGCATTTGTGACAGTTTTTTTTCTACTGTGTGCGTTTAAAAGATGAATTTACAAATGGGCCCATAAATTGTGTCAGCGGATTCGCAAGCATTTTTATCGTCTGCGAGAGCTGAGAAAGTTTGGTGCTGATGAAGCTGAATGACACTGTATTTAATGTAATCTGCCTCATTTAGCATTATATAATATACAGAGAAATAATATTGCCTGTAAGCCTCGGGCGCAACCTTGTTTCGTTACTGATAACTACGTTTTAACTGAAAGAGGATAAGCGAGTCTGAGCCATGCATTAAGTTCCCATGCTGCGTTTCTGTGAGTCACGTAGTGGCGTTAGTCGTGATTTTTAGGCACGATTGTATGCGACAATTTACGCATTATTTATTTTTAAGTTAGGACAAGTATAGGTGTTCCGTGTAAAATTAACGAACAATGGCCTACGGAGCATTGCTTATTTAGTTGCGATTTTGTAACGCCAACTTATCCACTGCTCTTTTGTAATGCTGATACTTCTCTGGCTGAGTTTTTAATACGAACTTTGGCAAAATCAGTTACTGAAGCTGTGGCTTTACATTTTTTTTTCACGGTTCCATGAAAATTGACACTTTTGTTTTACTTTGCTTCAATTATCTGTTTTGGGAAACCAATGATGCATGTGCTTTTGGCACAAAATGCCTTTAAATAATCAGGCAATATTTTACAATAGGTACATTTGTTGCGTAACAACATGTAAGTAACTTCAATAGCTCGATTTGTCTTGGAAAGCAAGCCCTACCGAAGCAGTGAAGCTTAAAATACTACACCTTTTTAGGCGCAATTTCAAAAAGTTAAAGGCCAAATTCAAAAAGTTTACGTTCAAAATGCACGTGAACGTTTTGAATTTGGTCTTTGACTTTTTGAAATTGCGCCTAAAATGCTGTAGTTTTGCAACCATTCATTTGCCCGTTAATCAACTTCTCACGAGGTGATCCGTTGTTTATTTTTATATTTTCACATACAATTACGGCGGGTCACAGTCACACGACACTCGCTAAATGCATGCAAACAAAAATGAACTTAAATTTTAATTCTGTGCAAATATCCCATCAAACAATGCATTTTAATTTTGTCCGTGGTTACATAATATACTAAGGCACTAAGGTACTATAGGTACTAAGCACAATGCACATTGAAACGTATAAGTTAACCCTCACGTTGAACCATGCCGAATTACTTTCTCGTGTTTTCGCGGCCTTCCCTACGTCGAAATGAAGTCTGTCGAGCCCTCTGTGACAGCTGCATGACAGCTCCACCGCAAAAAGGGTAAATGCTCATCTACCATCACATGTGTCGGTGACATATTTCTGAGTAAAAACGAGTTTGTAAACGCTGGGCGATTTAACAGGGCTGCGTCACTGCTTTTGAAGTCGTTCGTAACCCAGATTCACAAATGATGTGGCCACTACCATCAAGGGAGGAAACTTCTGAGACTGAAGCTCGCCTGAGATTACCGTATCGATTTGGGAGCCCCCCCCCCCGCTGCCCCCTCGGCCCGGGAGCCGCTCGACCACGAGGGCTCCGCCAGCTGAGCAGTCAGCTGACTGTGACCGCTGCTCCTGTCACGTGCGTCCCTCTCCCGGCCAGGGCGACACCTGGCGGCCAGCCCACCCCTCAGGAGGAGCCCCTCAGAGGCGCCGAGTGGGACGGGTGCGTGAGGGCCCCACCGGGGAGCGGAGGGAGGGTGGTTATTTGAATGCCAGGGTCAGGGAGGTCGGCTGACAGGGGTGACAGGCTGGCCCGGGCCCCAAGGGCTAGGTGTCGACTTACTGACGCCTGATAATAAGTTGGGGCGATGGCTCATGTTGCCTTCAGTCTATCAGTCAATCAGTCTACATTGACAACATGATACGATTTTTGCACCTTTGTGCCCGTGAACAATGTTGCCTTTTTATTCTAGAGATATCTGAAACATGATTTTAATTCTGGTCGCGGGCGACCACAATTGACAACGTCTGGTCCCCTCCCCCGTTATTAGGCAACTGGTTTGAAGGTGTGTCTTTCGGGCGGCAATTCTTATGATCACTTGTTTATAATGAGTTGTTGAAGATATCTAGTTCATTTCAATAAAAAAATTGATACTATAGGATTTCTCTAAAATCAACATGAAGATGTTCTTATCTGGCACACATGTATAAAATGTGGCTGCGCAAATCTAAAAAATGCTTCGTAATCGTGTGCACTGAGCAGTGTGAAATGTGCATGCTTGTTAACGGCCCTGTCGTGGATGAATTTCGTGACGGTCTTGCTTTTATGATAGAATATCCAAGAGACCGAAAATTTTCTTATCAAAACATGCACATCACATGCAACATGAGCTCATCAACACATGTAAGAAAATGGATTGTGATATCACCACGACCAATCATCCTGCTATTATGCACAGTGGACATCGTCGGAAACATCCGTCTTCATGCCAAGTGCTCGTTGCACATAACGGTGTAGAATCTCACTCCATGTGACAGATGAAGCAAATATATTCTTTCGCCTTCTAAAGTTGGAAACACTGTGAAATATTGGGGGAATCCATCACCTGAACATTCTCAGTGTCGGTTGGCTGGCCTGAGCTCTCATCGACATTTGACACACATGCTACAATGGAGTTTGTTATTGAGGGAATGGTGAAGTCCGTGTAGTAGGCTGTCGTTTTGCTCATGTAGGGTAGACGACAATAAATTGTTATACCAAGGCTATTTAACTGTAGCAAGACCGACCACATAACTGATAACCAGTAACCATGTGCTTATTTAAAGGTCAAAAATCTATTCAAATGTATTGTTCAGGATTCCCACTTACAAAAATTGTTAAAATTTTCAACTAAGCATTCTTTTTGAACTTCAAATGCAAAAAAGCCTTAAACTTTATACGAAATCTTTTGAATAAGATGTTGCATAAACCATTTGGCAGGCTGAACGTGGTCAGCACGTGTGCTGGAGCTGCTCAGTGTTCAACCTTGTACACCGCCGACTCCCCTGAGACACATGATCACTTGGCGCCCACGGCGGTGCCGCCGTGATGGACGTTATTGCCACCGGGCTCGGGCTGCGTTCATCACTTCTGTTGGCTCTCTGAGCTCCCGCCGATAGCTCGCGAGGACGCTGACGGCACATCGCTCGCTCCCGCGGCCTCTCTCGCTCGCCTGCCAAGTGTCATGGAGAAATGCCAGCTGCGTGTAACTGGGCCCGTCCGTCCGTCGGGCAGTGCGACACAATTATCAGACTGATAGGGAACACTTGTGACGCGCGCTTCAAGGTGCCTCGTGCTGTTACCTTTTCGTGGTATAGACGCCACGAGGGGTACGGATAGGCGCGGGCCGCCGCTCGGTTGAGTGATAAATGTAGTTTGGCGCTTTTTGGTAATCCATTTGGTGGTGTCATCGGTGCTTAATGATTTACCCACTCATCCAAAGTATATTGCTTGGTGTTAACTGTACTTTGAGTGAGACACAGACTTCTCTTATATATTTAGAGAAGTCTATGACTGAGATTAATGCTCTTTTGATATTCTGTTCAAAATTATCAAGTTAGATGATAATTGTGAAGTAGCTCGCTGAAAACTATTCAACATAATCCTACCGTTGCAAAATCAGCATGTGCATTTTTTCTGTTTAAAATAACCCATTTACATACATTGCAACATTTTCAGCTACATTTCGTGCATTCATCTTACTTGAAACGTCACCCTAACGGCACTATATTCTTTTTAATGTCGTGGCCATCTCCGTAAGTGGGCGTCTGACTTAAGTCGGTAAGCGTTGGAGCGGTGGGGTTGATGGGCAGTGGGCGCTGGTTGGTGGGCGTATGATGGTGGGCGGTGGGCGGCATGATATTGGTTCAGAGGGTGGCTGACGTTGGTTCAGTGGACGGCTGACGTTGGTCCAATGGTAAGTGGGCTGTGGGCGATGGGCGGCAGACGTGTTGGTCCTGTGGGCTGCAGGCGTATTGGTCCGGTGGGCGACCGCGAGGTTAGTCTGGTGGGCGGCTGACGATGGTTCGGTGGGCGGCAGACGTGTTGGTCCTGTGGGCGGCAGACGTGTTGGTCCTGTGGGCGGCAGGCGTGGTGGTCCTGTGGGCGGCAGGCGTGGTGGTCCTGTGGGCGGCAGGCGTGTTGGTCCTGTGGGCGGCAGGTGTTGGTCCTGTGGGCGGCACGTGTTGGTCCTGTGGGCGGCAGGCGTGGTGGTCCTGTGGGCGGCAGGCTGCTGATGCCGGGCGGCGCCGCCCACTGCCCGCCGCCCGCCCGCCGCCCACCGCCCGGTCCGCCGCCCGCCGCCCAGCCCAGCCGGCTGCCC